TTGACCTTTGACAAGGTCAAAATTTTTTATTTTTTAGAAAAATTCTTATATATATATACTTATATGTATATATAAATTCTTATATATATATAGTATATATATATACTTTTTATTATATTTTGTAGGAGGTAACGGTTTTCTTGGGAAGATCTTAATTGAGAAACTGTTGCGTAGTTGCCCCGATATTTCTATGATGTACTTATTAATACGGTCAAAAAAAGGCAAGAGTCCCAAAAGCCGACTGGACGAAATGTTTGAGAGCTCGGTAAGGGAAGAGAAAGCGATATCGAATTAAATACAATGTTCTCGCAAAGCGTTTTGCTAATGTAAAATCTGTAATTTGTAGCTTTATGATTGTGTAAAAAAGGAAGTACCAACTTTTCGCAAAAAAGTTGTGCCAATCGTAGGCGATCTCGAACTTGACGACTTAGGATTGTCCGAAAACGATAGAAACATTCTAATACGTAAAGTATAATAAATAATTTAGATTATTCTCGTGACACTTCCGTTTATATTACATGCATTTTAATGCATATGAATGTATCATGCGCACATACATGAACACAGTGGATATATATTTTACCTAATTATAATTATTAAAGCAGCCAAAGAAATCAGCCTTTTTTTTCTTTTTCTATATTATTCTTTTCCTGTATACATATCAAAAATTATAGTGTAATAACATATTCTTATTTTAGGTTTCCATTATTTTTCACGTTGCGGCAAATGTACGCTTTTATGAGAAACTCAAATTTCATATATTAGTAAATGTTAGCGCTACCGATACCGTTTTGCGCATTGCTAAACTTATGCCAAACTTAAAGGTATAATTCTATCACCTAAGCGTTAAACATGCTAATAATAATTCAAAAAAGTTATTAATATTTACACAAATATTATCCGTTTCTGGAATAAATTTAATTGACGCTTTATTCCACAGTCTTTTTTTATCGATATTTATCTTATAGGCATTTATTTATGTATCAACCATATATGTGAATTTCTGCGTGAAAAATATTGAAGAACGTGTTTACACACATCCTATTAATTACAAAAATATAATTACATTTATCTCATCCGAAAACGCAATAGAGAAGAAATTCGCTAAGTACGTATTAATTCTCTTATTGCATATTTAAATAGTATGCAAATAAATTAATATATCAGTGTAGAGATTCAAGTAGTGTGACGTCCGAAGAAAAAATTACGTCTCTCATTTGATGTATTAATATACGTCGTTCTTTAACGTCACTCTGTTGCTGGTGCAGTTAAATTATCATTTTCAGAATCATTTCACAATGGCCAAATACATATACATTCACGAAAGCAATTGCAGAAGCGCATCTCAAAGACGAAGGCGGAGATTTGCCAATAGGAATATTTCGGCCTGCCATAAGTAAGTAGATTAATAAATTTTATCTTTTAATATATCCAATCCTTAACATAGTAAATTTTTTTAATATTCAGCTTTTTTCTCGAGAATTTATTACGTCATATTCATAGACAATAACTTTGGATTGTTCATATAACTATCCGCTCCGGCTGATTACTCACATTGACACATTATCGAGTAAAAATTCACATCGACACTAGCATAAACGCCAGCTTAAAAAAAAGAAAAACACCGGAAATTGGATTTTACTAAGATTTACATATCGTACACGGCATGCTCGTTTTTCAAAAGAAAAATTTTTGTTAATCTATAACTGAGAAGGAATAATCGTTTTTCATGTTTTTCAGTTTCATCCAGTGCTAGTGAACCGCTCGTCGGATGGAATGACAATTTTTTTGGACCAGTAGGACTTACAGTCTCTATAATAAGCGGTATCCAAAGATTTAAACTATGCAATCCTGACGTCTCTTTAAATTTTGTGCCCGTCGATTTCACCGGAAACGCATTAATCGCGAGTGCATGGGACGTCTTTAATCAATGGAGGTATAATTATCGTAGATATAAACGCCATGAAGTAGAACCGCACTTTTACGAGCGATCCTATTACCACTCAGTCATCCAAACACTGCCTGCAATATTAATATTATTTATTTGTTTTATATTTGTGAATCTAATGACAATAAAAGTAATTATTTTTAAATTATGATTGCAATTATCGCTGTTTTTTATAATCAAACAACTTTAATATAGCCGATAGCGGGTTGACTTTACATGATATTAGAACGTATGTTAAACCGTCAGATGTTACCATATTGACACGTTATAACTATAATTTTGATACTCGGAAAATTTATTACAACTCATTGTCAGATATATGTATTTAAATGGCTTTATCTTGTAGGAAAGGCAAAGACATGCTAATTTATAATTTCGTGCCGCCGGCGGACGCGCCAACTTTAGGTGAATATTTATATAAAATCGTCAATATAAGTAAGACGTATCCCTTAAGCGGAGCGCAATGGTATCCCTTTATAATAATATTACAACGAAAAAGTCTATATAAAATTGGCACTTGGCTCGGTCATTGGCTACCGGGCTTACTTGTTGACATCGTGAGCATTTGTATGAATCATCGTCCGAGGTATCGCAAAAATATAAATATCTAATAGTATGTAGAAACAAAATTATGTAAAACAGGAAATTACAATAAATTCATACTTTTTAGAATGCGGAAAATATATAGAAAAATCGATAATAATTCCTACGCACAGGCACCTTTTCTTATGAAGCGGAAGAATTATTCACGTGATAATGTTGAAGTGATATGGAATCGTCTCGATGAGCGGGATCAGCAGTTATTTAAATTCCAAATGAAAAAATTCGACTGGACAAAATATTTTGTCGATTTTTACAAAGGCATATGCATTTTTTTACTTAATGAAGGTGACAGTGCTTTGGAAATCGGTCGAATCAGACAAAAAAGGTATAACATATCTTCTAGTATTCAATTGCTTTTATTTTAATTTAATTTCAATTTTTTATTTTTTGAGAATAAAATTAAAAATTTCAGATTTTACTGGATACATCAAACCTTCAAAGCTATATTTATCTTTGCCATCCTTTGGATCATCTGGATAATATTTATGAAAGTATTTACATAACTTTTATGTGGGTTTCTATATATATTATTATTTATATTATATATGTGTTTTATTCGCTTATCAAAATGTTATTAACAAGCAAAGGAAAATATTGAAGTACAATTATAACTCTACTAAATATATAAATTCTATATTATATATATTTATTGGGAGGTAAATGGTTATAAGCAATTGTGAAAAAGGTTTTCTTATACGTAAAGGAAAAGAATAATATTAATTTTTTCGCATATGGCTTAATATGGGCTATTCCACGTGAAGCGGATCAGTCATCTCTCAGAAATTTTTTTAATTTTGCACAAAGGTAGTACTTTGGGAGATAGAATTTTGTGCCAAAGGATTTTTTTCTTATTGCAAAATTAATTGAGATAGATCGGAAGAGCACACGT